CCCTGGAGTCTCCGATCCCGGCCCGATTTTATCTTCCCCGGTTCGCACTCACGTTAGAAGGCTCTCTCAGTGGATTCTGCGTCTTTTTTCTCCCAATCTCTCAGGTTTTGTAAGGCTTCCAATGTCTTCGGATCTTTTCTGTGTGATGTATGGGCGCGAGTGCAAGTACGGAGCTCCTTACTTCTCCGCCATCTTGCCCTCTCTCTCACTCTAATTATTTTTTAATTTCTATCTTCTTGAATAAATTCAGTAGCCCTTTTTTAGAAAATTAATCACATCTAGATTATCAAATAAGCCTTGTTATATAACTCTATCATAATTTGTAATTTTCTTAGTTTTCTTTGTATCATTTATTGTATTATCTTTCACATTCCTAATAGTATTTTCTTTTATTATGCTTATTATATAAGGCTAGTTGCTTATTCTTTTTAATGATAAAACTAATGGAGCAACATACATTTATTAATCCCAATTATCATGCAACATAATTAAAATTCCTCCAAATCATTGTGTACATTTACTCTTCCCTACCAAACTTCATTTTCTTGGCTGGTCCCTAGCATGGAGTGCTGGAAATAGATCAAATACTTTCATTATTTGCACTTCATTTGTTCTTTAAAGCATATGTACATCAACCTTGTTTCCAAAAGAAGACATCATTACCTTTTTTCCTCCTGTTTGAAGATGTTAGGCAGTCTGGTTTTTTTCTTCAGAAATATTTTTGGATATTGCTTTATAAACATATCGTGAGCTGACAGGATATTGTAAGAACTCTGGCTTTAAAAATAAGATACACAAATTAAATTTTAAGTATCATAAGATAATAGTTTCCAAGGAAAGATTTTTGACTTAATATATACAACTTAATTCCATACTATTTAGTCTAAAAAACAAATGACAAAAATATGAAACATAAACATTCTGTGCCTTAAAAAGATCCACTATAAAAACTGTTCATAGTGTGCCTCAGTAAGAAATATTTTATGAATATCAGATTTATGGGACTGTCAAATTTAATTTTTAAGTTGAGCCTTCTTAAAAATTTTATTTCTGTAATTGATTAAAACCCTTACATAAAATATGCCACATAATTAAAATTCCTCCAAAAAAATTCACATTGAGTTCACATATACATAACCAACAAATATATTTATCTGAATCTTTGTAATGATTTATGAAAATCTCATGCACTGTGTTTTTAGAACTGGAATAAAGTTGTGTTAGACCAAAAGATCGGCATTTCCCAATCCAGAATATCAGTGGAATCATCTGGTATGCTTTTTAGAAGTTCAGTTTTCTGATCCTTTTCCTGAGGAAGCAAGATCTCCAAGGCTAAAGGTCTACATGGGCCTCTCTATTTTAAATATCCTTCTCCAGAGGATTCTATTTGTAGTCAGGTTTCAACCCACTGCAAATATAAAAAAACCAATGATCCACAGGATATAGTAAATTATTATTCAGTGTCAGGTAATGACATTTGTTTCTGGAAAATCTGCTTCATTCAATTCTCGACAACCATCATGAAAAATTGGTCAATTTTTTTAAATGCTAAGCATTCATCTTGGCCGCTTATTTCAATAATTATCAAAAATGGTCATACTTAAAAATGAACACTGACAAACATCTTAGTCAATATTTGCCTCATGGCAATGGATATAAAAATACACGAGAAAGCTTTTCTTATTTCATTGTCAGTGTAAATAATAGAATACATTATAAAATATTTATAACAGGTTTTTTTCTCCTGGCCAAAGTTTCCTAAAATGCCATATTAATTCTTTACACAAAACAAATACTACATACTTTAAGAATGTTATGTAAGTTAATTTAACTTAATCAATTCAAATAATGCAAAGTGAATTTGATTTAATATGACATTAAGCATTTTCATGCATAATCTTACACTATAGATACATGAAGCAAGAATATAATCTTTTTTTTAAATCCTGTCACTGATATCATTAGAAGCTTTTCCATTATCTTTTTTCTTCCCCAATTTGGAATTCACATTCTACATTCATTTATATCCCAAACATTGGGCTAAGATCTTTACACTATTTTTGTCTCTTTATATATTTACATAACCTGACAAGGTTGCTATTCTTTATTGCCCATTCTACATATAAAGAAATTGCAAACATAATTCATATAATTAGGAAGTGGAAGACATAGGGTACAAATGAAAACTAAATTGACTTTAAAACCCATTGTCTTAACCTTTTGGATGTACTGCCCCTTAAGTAGTAAAACATGTTAGTTCAAAATGACAGTCACTATTCTAGGCAGTTTACATGTATCATATAATTTATCCTTATACAACTATATTAGCTGATATTTCTCATTCTCATTTTGTATATAAGGAAATTGAGGCCCAAGAAGTACAAAAGTGTGGCCTCTTTCCTTTGTCTACATGGAGCCCATGCTACAAGACCTGGCATCTTACTCCAATTGGCGATCTGGACAGACCATCTTTGGAGTGGCTAAGAAGCTTACATCAAAATGCTAAGACCCTCACTCTTGTCATTTTCTATGTCTATGGCTGACCTGTCTGCTTCGTCTAATCCTTGAGAACTTTCAAGATTTGGTAGCTGATGTACATGGACCAGTATTTATGATCTATCTCCAAACCAGTATCTTCATGAAGTGAAAATGTGGAAGGTTGAAATGGAAAAGACAAATTCTAGAACTAGGCATGATATAATTTTCAAAATGAGGAGCTAAGTGCCCTATGATGCTGTGATGTATATTCTAAATCACAAAATGCAATCTGGCAGTATATGCCTATCCTGAGTCTCTTTTGAAATAAAAACATATAGTTCTGTGTGTTCAGTAGGTATGCATTATTGTCTAAAACTATGTGTATGCAAATACAAAGGCAAATAAATGCCTCTAAATATGGATAAGAAAAGTAGATTAGGAGAAATGGTATACGTATAGTTAGAAAGCCAGGGATACAGAAAGATTAAGAATTATGGCAGAGTCAGAAAGTAGACCATGGACCCAAATAACTATTTGACACCTGAAAACTGTTCATATAATTTCTCAAGATATGAGTTAGCACTATGGACAAAATTCTCTACTTTATTGAAGCTCATCTGCAAGGAAATTCACCTACAGAGAAACCTCAATTTCCTCAAACAGATGAAGGAGAAATACATACAAAACCTATAGATTTACACACCAGAACTCTAGAGCACCTTTAGGATGCTTACAATAGCCAAGCACATATTAAAAGATGGGCTGTGTGCTGAACTGGGAAAGATGTCCTTAAAGAGAAAGCCACAACATTTCTCTCTCTCCTCTCCTCTCCTCTCCTCTGGGAAAGATGCTCTTAAAGAGAAAGCCACAACATTTCTCCCTCTCCTCCCCTCCCCTTCCCTCCCCTCCCCTCCCCTCCTCTTCTCTCCTCTTCTCTCTCTCTCTCTCTCCCCTTCTCTCTCCCTGCCATGCCTTAAGAGAAGCCCAAAGTGGTCAGATCCTGCAGGTTTTCATTTTTTTTAATTTTTTTACAGAAGCCATAAATCTCTAATGTGAAATTTTTATTCTTAAATATTAGTAACTGCTGTAGATTGAATTGTGTTCCTCCCTCCCAAATTCATATGTTGAAGCTCTATCCCCCAATTTGATTATAACTGGAGATAAAGCTATTAGTAAGTAATTAAAGTTGCATGAGATCGTGAAAGCAGGGACCTAATCTGTTAGGACTGGTGGTCTTCTAAGAGGGACACTCTCCACATGCACACACCAAGTAAAGGCCATGAGAGGACACAACAAGAAGGCATCTATCTGCAAGCCTGGAAGAGAGTTCTCATCAGAAATGAATCAACTGGCACCTTGATCTTGTACTTCTCATCTTTCAGAACTGTGAGAAAGAAATTTCTGTTGTTTAAAACAACCTACAGTACTATGTTAGCCTAAGCAGATAAGACTGTAACATACTCTTTAAAAAGTTTTAAATTACTGTGTGAACCAATCAAAATAATCTTAGGGCTTTACACCAATTACACTATCCCAAGCCAGGGGATGGGGGCACCAGTTAATGGCCTTGGCAGGCTTCCCTAACTATATGACAAATAGTTACTTTTTGCCTCCTCTACTAGAGAAATAAAAGAACCTTAGTCTTGGGATCAAAACGACCTGAATTTGTGTACTAATTTTTCTACTTTATATAGACCTAAAAGTATTAAAGTATTAAAAGTATTAAAGTCATTTAAGCTTTATATACTTTACTTGTTTATGTACTGAATGATAGATACATGTCTAAAAAATAATAATTCAATGTTTAATGCTCAATGATTTTGTATCTATCTCAAAAACTTCCCTATGCTACAACATCCCATGTATTTTTCTTCCTGGGTACAGAGCTAAACTACATTTCCCAACCTCTCTTGCACTTAGATATAGCCACATGGCTGAGTTCTAGCCAAAGGAACATGGAGGAGAGGGTAGGAGTGATGTGCACCATTTCCAGACCAGAACCATCAAAATCTGCCCCCAGCCTCACCAAAAAACCCTTCTACAAAAGATTCTCCATGTCTTTTTACCTTTCAGCTTAATTAGCAGGGTAAACTTGAAAATCACACACAAAGATGAAAGAACAAACATTTGAAAAAGGCCTGAGTTCCTAAATCAGAAAAGTCTACCAATCAAAAATAACCCTACAGAGAGCTTGATGTGAGAAAGAAAGAAATTTCTATTGTGTTATACTGCTGAGATTTACGGTTTATCTATAACAGCAAGATTTCCTTAACTAGTTATATCTTCTGTATCCCAGTCAGTTTTTCTTATAAGTCTGGAAACATAATACACTTCTAATAAAATACTTATTGATTAATTATGTTTATCTGGCTTACCAAAGGCAATTTACATTTTTTATTTTAAATTCGTTAAAACAAGTCATAAAAGTTGAATCTATTCAACCTCTTATAGATTTTTTCCTGCTGAATTTGTCTTATAAATGTTGTAGCATCGATTTATTTATGTGATGAAAATTGAAAATATGTGAATGTTATTCTTGCATCTAGAAGATAGTGGAGGTACAATTTGATAATAATTAAGCTCATTTTATATATCTATATATAACATACATAGATATACTATTATGCATTATATGTGATGGATTTACATATTTATTTTATTATATATTACATTGTATATAATGGCTTTTATTATTTTATTATGATATTAAAGAAAGAAGAAAAATGCTATGTGATAAGGTCAATGTATTTAACATGGCCTAGCTACTAAGTGAAAAGATCAATCAGCAGTCTTTGGATAATGCCACTCTAAAATGTCATGTAGTTCAGTTTTCTTTCTACTTATTTTTAATGTTTTTTTTGGAGATGTTAGTCTCTAGATATGAATCCATTTAATCATCTTTCTTATCTATGGATAAAGCTCATTACCAGTAACTTCATGGCTTAAAAATTATTTGATTAGTTTTTCAAAGGAGTTCCACATAGCACTATAATTAATTAGCAGATGTATTAGTTATAAAGATTAATCCCTAACTTTTCATTTTCATAAAGTTCCTAGAGAAAAATTAAAAAATATTTTTTGACAAAGCCAACTGCAAAGATATCACTTGAAGACTGAATCTATACCTTTTACAGGGATATTGATCTATCATAAAATTTTACTTACCCTATTTTTAGAACAAATATCTGATTTGCATATAAACTGAAGTTGTGGTTTATCTTTTACAAACTATTTCATCTTCTCATTTATTTATTTCTAGAAAAGAACTACCAACCTTAAGGATTGTTGTAGTAGTTAGA